GTCCCAGACCAACAACAGGTTAGGTCCCAGACCATACTGTGCCAGGAAGCCCAGGGGTCCTCCCCGACACCACCCCGGCGAATCCACATGTCTCTCGGCATCAAGGCTCCCCTGATAAGCTAGTTACTCAGCCAGGGGTGTCTCATTCCACCCATGTGGTCGTACTTGACTTATGTTTGGATGAAATTCCAAGGAATCGGTCCTTAAGTGCGAGAGCGGGAAACCGTACACCCGGTACGTTGCCCGGTCCGCGGTTTTGGAAATTCATTTAGTTCGCAAGCACCGACCCAGGTGTCGGGTTTTCCAAGCCTTTTGTAAAACTCCAGTTTTACCCAAGTTGTTAATCAGATTTTAAGTTTGAAGGCGATCGTCGATACTGGCACAGGGTGCACGAATATCGAGGCGCAACTGGATGGTTACAAGGGGACATGGTATAGCAATTAACAATGGAAGGATCAAATGCAACAAGTTAGGTAGGTCTGCCAATCTGCCTTGCAGACGGAACAACAGATTAAGTGCAATCCTATCAATGCATAATATTTTGCAAGCAATATAATTAGATTTCAAATATAGGCTCAAGATGTTCAAAGGTGGCTTGCCTTGCTCGAGATCTGGAGCTTGATCCTCGAAATCCTCGCACTGCGGGTCTTCGGGCTCCGAAACTATACGCAAAACGGGACAACTCAACAAACGGCGAAAATAAAGCCCTATTAATGGCCTCTAAGCGTGCCATTAGATAGATCTCGAGATTTGAGAAATTTTGGAATTTGAACGGAGTCAAACGGATTTACGGTTGGGAAGATATTGAATTTCTAAGATTATTGGATTTTTGGTCTAAAGGAAAAGGATTTAATTAAATCCTTTTTGGAAAAGAAAAGAAAAGAAAAAGGGAGAGGGAGGGAATATAGACTTCCCTCGGGCGGCTAGGGCGCGGCCCGAGAGAAAGGGCGGCTCGGCCGAGCTTAACGGGCCGGCCGGCCCAAGAAGGTGGCCCAAGGCGGCCCAAGACGCGCGCGCGCGGGAGGGAGGAGAGAGAGAGCCGGTGGACCGGGCTCACCATGCGCGGTCCCGGGTGGGACCCGCTTGTCAGCGGCTCGGCTCACCGTGCGGAGGGAGTACGCGGCTCATGCGCGCGGGCGGGGGAGGGACGCGGTGCACGCGCGCGGTTCACGGTGGACGCGGATGCGGCGGGCCCACGCGCAGCCTCACGGCTCGCGGTGGAACGCGCGCACAGGGAGGGACTGACCGGGGTCGGCTCGACCTGGTCTAGGCTGAGCTGGCGCCGACGTGGCGCCTACGTGGCTGCCACGCGGGCCGGCGGGAGGTAGACGACGACCCGGCCGCGAATGGACGGCGGGCGGCGGCGGCGGGCGGCGGAGCGAACCACGGCGATACGGGCAAAAGCTAGCACACCGGGCGGTTGTTCGTGATGAGGGGAGACGAGCCAACGGGTCGGATTCGCCAGAGGGAGTTCGACGGCGGCGAATCGCGGCGGCGACAACCGGCGGGGTGGGAAGAGGGAAACGCCGACGAGGTCACGAGGAACCGATTCCCGGCGGTGAGAGCATCCACGCGACCACGGGAATCCGATGCTAGCGTCGGATTGGACGGAGCTACGCCGAGCGAGGCTGGCGACGTGCGGGTGCTACGGAGCTCGAGCGGCGACGGCGGCGAGCACGCGGCGAGCGACGGCAAAGGTCGGGGCGGCGCCGGCTAGCTACGGGGAGTCTACTCGAGCTACTACCGAAAGCTAGAGGGAGGAGATGGGGCGAGGAGGAAGAACGGAGGGAGGCATCACCGAGATGAGGAGGGGCGCTGTGACGAGAGGCCGACGGCGCGGGAGTAATCTCTCCGGCCTCGGGCCGGGGAAGAGGAAGGAGAGGGCGCGGCCGAAGTCCCCTTCCGCGTCCTTGCTCGTGCCAACTCCTTCGACACGCGCAACAACGAACGGTGACGGCGAACAGAGCACGGGGGCGGCAGCTATGGCGAGGAGGCGAAAACGAGGGAGATTGGAGGGGAAGGAGCTGGGGTTTAAAGAGGGCGGCAATGTCGGTTTGGGAACCGACTTAGGGCGGTCAAGGCGCGAGCTGGCGCTCGGCGGTCGCGGCCAAAGCGGCGACAGGGAGGATGACGCCGGCGGGGGAAAAAGGGGAAAAAGGAGGGGGAGAAAGGGGCTTGCCCTTTTGCCGATTCGGGAAAAAGGAGGAGGGGAGCGGGGGCGACGCGACAGAGGGAGGAGGGGCGCTGCCTCCGTCCCTTGGCGGCTTGCGCGCGGAGTGGCGGGGGCCGGGCGGTGACGACGGCGATGACGGCGGGCGGTTTGGAGCGGCGCGACGACACGGGCGACAGACGCGTGCAGAGGCTGACGGCGGCGGCGACCGGGCGGTCGGCCACTCAGCACGCGCGCGCGGCTTGCAACGGGCGGCGTCCGCGCGGGCGCGCGCACGCGAACACGGCGTGCGGGAAGCGGCAGCGAGGGAGCAGAGAGGGAGGACTTGGCTCGGCGCTGGCGGCTTACGCAGGCGCGGCAGAGCGAGGAGAAGGGAAGGGGGCGCTCGGCGCGGTGGCTCACGCGCACGCGCGCGGGCAGAGCGGAGGAGGAGGAGCACGCGGCGCGGCTCTCGCGCACGCGCGCGCGGCGCGCGGGCGAGGCGGAGCGGAGCTGAGCGGGGGCGAAAGCGGAGCGCGCCGGGGAGGGGAGAGGGCGAGAGAGAGAGAGAGAGAGAGAGAGGGAGCGCCCGGGAGAGGGAGAGAGGGAGATGGGCCGAGCGAGATTCGGCCCATCGACCCGGGGGAGGCAAAATAGACTTTTGCGGAGGAATTTGATTTGGAAGGATTTGGATTCGGATTTGAACTCGACGATAGATCGGGGATTGAGATCTTGAGATGGCACGGACACTAGACAACAAGCAAGGAAACAAAATTCGCAATTAGGGTTTTTAAGAGATAATTTTTCCCGCTAGGCGCCACGACGGAACGGGCGCTACAGATTGTAATAATTGGCTGTAACTCTTTGAGCAAAGGTCGGGATGCTCTATTCTATTATCTTAAAAAAAGCTACCTAGTGCGGCATCTAGTTATCGATGAACAAATTATTTTAGCTAGATCGCTTGGTACTTGCATGGATCTTCTGTCGATCGTCATCCAAACTGCTGTTCCCCTTGTTTTGTTACGATTATACGGTAGTAGGTAGAGAGTAAACGACTCGATCGTGCGGGCGTATCTACAGGGGATCCATGCTCGTGGTTCAGAGACTTTTTACAGGTGTACTGCTGGATTTAACAACTGACCACGCGAACAACGATACAATTAACAACAGCATCACGAGACATACTTAGGATTCAGCCTTCTGAATATGCACCCTTCAACGAGTTCGGAAGAGTAGGATATGCTCGTCTTAAAATGGAACCTGAACACGCATGGATTGGATCTGAATCCTCAACGCCCGTCCTGTATTTCTGAATTCTGAACTCATCGATCTCTATCTGAATGAAAGCCACACATATAGACAAGAAGGAAACAATAATAATTCGTTGATTACTTGCTTGAGTGGACTCACGGTGCTCGCAGAAACTAGGGAACATCTACTCGATCGAGTCTGAATCTACACCACTCTGAAAATGTCATGTATATCGATCTCATATGTCAATACGCGCTTGTCTACGTGTGGGGGACATTTGTGCATACCTCGTACGTATACGGTATACGTGGGCGTGTCCCGCGGTTTCATACGTTCAGTCGCAGAGCTGGCGTCGCCGGCGGTGCAGTATCCGTCTGACCAATCCATCCACGAACGAACACGCGTACGTGCGCACATACTATATAGTAGGATTATATGCAGGAATTCATTCAGGTGCATGCATGAACATCTGAATTTGTCTGAACAAGCTCGATCCGACGGGTGATCGACCGACAGACATGCAGACAAAAATGGCGGCAGGCATGGCATGACGAACCTGAAGAGACCGGAGACTCGCATTGCCATGCATACACACTGGCACACACACATACAGGTGGCAGTACGTAGTACGTGGAAGCACATTGATGTACAATTATCTCATATAGTAGTATGTGAGATGTGATGCGACGACTGACGAGTGATGAGGATCAAGTTGATGATCAGGTCATCTAAAATTGTGATCTAGCTAGCTAATTAAGCTAGCGGCTGCTGATGAGTTCAGGGGAAGATTCCGCGATCTCTTCATCGATCGATCTGATCTATCTCTTGCTTCTGAACGTACAGTACGTACGTACGTTCGTATGCAACATTGCAACGAGCCCTCTGTGCTGGATTCAGGCTACCTGCTAGGAGTAGATCGACATATATAGCTGTCGATATCAGTATAAAGCAGGTTGGAACGAAAGGACGTTTAGTGTACATGCACACACAGTTCGCAGCTAGCTAGCTGGGAGCTGGACGGCTGGGTCTACCACACCTGTGATCGAGACGTCTTGCTCGATCGATCGATGCACGCTGATCACAACGACCAATCAATCAAGTGAGATGTATCCATGGATAAGAAAAACGAAATATAGCTGAACTCTTGTTGACTCGCGCTCGATTGATCGGGACATCGTAGTTTTTTTTCTGTGCCGGTGCATATTCAATCCCCTCTTATCCGTCTGCCGCTATTTTTTCGAGTTAATTATCATGTATGCGTCATGTTTTCCTAGTAGTAGATAGGGGGCCACGGTTCATTCCCACAGAAATTAACTAACTCAAATGGGGCCTATCCAAGAGAAATTAAGAAATTGGAAACACACGGTAGGAAAAATTCAGACATAACAGCTTAACATTTTGAACTGATGTGCTAATGGCATCTTCTCTACCAGTGAGAAAAGAATACAATCACGGTCTGGATAACAGCCGGCAATCCGTTGCAACACGTACATGCCTATCAAATTTTCATGCTAAACCGCGCGCACACAGAGCCAGCCAGCCAGCCTTAAACAGGCAGCCGATCTGAAAAGCTGAGAACATAACAGCTGAATTCCTGTGGCATGCATCACAGTCTCCGTAGCACAGCAGCAGAGCGCAAGCTTCCGGGTGGATTCTTCCCGTCAAAAAGAGGAACACTTGGAAGGATTCTGTGGCAATAATTCCTCCTGCACTCTCCCCTTCGATCCATTTGTTTATGCTGGCCTGAACTTTATATAAACCGAAGTAATCTCCCTTCAGATCACGCACTGCTATATATACCCTGCTCTCGGTACTTGCAAAACCATATCTTCACTAGCTTCCCTTGCCTGCCTAGCCTAGCTAAGCACCGCCATTGCCTCTTGCCCTAGCAGTGTGCGAGAAACCAGGTCTTGGAGAGGCCATGGAAACACTGGTCTGTGTAGCTGTGTGGGCTGTGGCCATGGCCATGGTCGTGGCTTCCGTTATGTGGGCGTACAGATGGAGCCACCCGAGAGCAAACGGCCGGCTGCCTCCGGGCTCCCTCGGCCTCCCTCTTCTCGGCGAGACCTTGCAGTTCTTCGCACCCAACACTACCTGCGACATCTCCCCCTTTGTGAAGGAGAGGTTGAACAGGTAACATTTTGTATTTTACAGATAAAAACACTTGTTCAGCAGCTGATTTCTGATTACTGAACCTGACGAGATATATTGGATTATGTGCTGTGCAGGTACGGCAGTATCTTCAAGACCAGCGTCGTCGGGAGGCCGGTGGTGGTGACGGCGGACCCAGAGATGAACTACTACGTGTTCCAGCAGGAGGGGAAGCTGTTCGAGAGCTGGTACCCGGACACCTTCACCGAGATCTTCGGCCGCGACAACGTCGGCTCCCTCCACGGCTTCATGTACAAGTACCTCAAGAGCCTCGTGCTCCGGCTGTACGGCCAGGAGAACCTCCGCGCCGTGCTCCTCGACGAGACCGACCGCGCCTGCCGCACCAGCCTCGCCTCATGGGCGGCGCAGCCCAGCGTCGAGCTCAAGGACAGCATCTCCGCCGTAAGAGATCACCACCAATCCATCCGTATCCCTGCTGCTAATATATGTTTGGAACTCATGCTGTCCATTTCTGAGTTCTGACATATATCGATCTGGGAACTTGTGATACTAGATGATATTTGACCTTACGGCGAAGAAGCTGATCAGCTACGAGCCGTCAAAGTCGTCGGAGAATCTGAGGAAGAACTTCGTCGCCTTCATCCGCGGGCTCATCTCGTTCCCGGTGGACATCCCCGGCACTGCATATCATGAGTGCATGAAGGTATGTAGTGTTAGTGCACATGCATGTACAATATAATGCATCCTTGAGCAGCAACGTAGTGAACTGAACAACGCCTGCACATGCGTTCCCTAGTCAACAGATGACCATGCATGCACACGCACCACCACATGCAGCCTGCAGGCAGTCAATGTTTCTAGAGAGTGGCTCAGTACCAAGGCAGCGCTAGCTAGCTTCTTGCCTGAATTTAGCTATAGCCACCAGCTGATGCTATCTTTGCTGCGTGCAGGGGAGGAGGAACGCGATGAAGGTGCTGAAGAAGATGATGAGGGAGAGGATGGAGGAGCCGGGGAGGCAATGCGAGGACTTCTTCGACGTGCTGATCGAGGAGCTGGGGCGGGAGAAGCCCGTGCTGACGGAGGGCATCGCGCTCGACCTCATGTTCGTCCTCCTCTTCGCCAGCTTCGAGACCACGTCGCTGGCGCTCACGCTCGGCGTCCGCCTCCTCGCCGAGAACCCCACGGTGCTCGACGCGCTAACGGTTAGCAGCTAACTAATTAGCCAGTGATGAAACCCCAAACACGCGCAATCAACGAGAGACAACATATGACACAGCTCTTGTGTTGTGTGGCGCAGGAGGAGCATGAGGCGATTGTTAGGGGCAGGAAGGAGGGGTGTGATGCCGCAGGCCTCACGTGGGCAGATTACAAGTCGATGACCTTCACGTCTCAGGTGAGCCTAACCAGGGGCTAGCTATAGTTAGCTAGCAGTTAATTAGCCAAGTGCAAGTTGAACGGCCGGTGTATAATAGTATAAGACATTGAGCCGGATTAACCAGTGGCCTGTTGGCTTAGTTGTGACAGTGGCAAAGTACAAGCAGAACACTGGCCAATGCGATTGTGCAACTGCTTACTTTGTGTTTCGTGCTTGTGTAAACCAAGTGCACCCGCGCACTCTCCACGAGAGAGAAGATAGTGTAGTTATATACATATGTGTTCACAACTAGTAGTGCTCTGAATAAACTTGCTTCAGTTTAGGTCATGTTTGGATCATTTAATCTCTAGACTAAATAAAATTAGTTCATGGATTAAAAACTTTAGTCCCCTACTGTAGTTTGGATCCAGGGACTAAAAGCATGTAAACCAAGAGAGAGAGAAGAGAGAGGCTGCCACTTTAGTCCCTATAAGTACCTCCAGGATGGATTACTGGATTTTAGTCCCAATATGCACTTTTAGTCTTTTTAGTTGTCCCTGTTTAGATTCTTAGAGACTAAAAGGGACTAAATTGGAGGGACTAATGGATTAGTTGAGTGAATACTATTTTTGACTACTTGAACTTTTCTGCATATGAAGGTCACGTTGGAGATGGTAAGGTTAGCAAACATCGTCCCGGGGATTTTTCGGAAGGCCTTGCAGGACATTGAATTCAAAGGTATAGTATTACAAGCTAGATATACATATGATGTGTATGAACAAACGTGCTCTTTAACTTGACAAAAAAAAATGAATGTAAGCCTTTTTTTTTTCTTCTACACCTCTGGGTGCAGGCTACACCATTCCAGCAGGATGGGGAGTCATGGTGTGCCCTCCAGCAGTGCACTTAAATCCCGAAATATATGAAGATCCGTTAGCGTTTAATCCATGGAGGTGGCAGGTTTGTGCCGTTTAATCTATGTGCTAACTAATTGAAATTCCCTCAAAACCGTTTCAGATGCAATTAACACTTGTGGTTTTGATGCTCTCTGGATTGAGTGTTGGACTCATTCCCAAGATATATAGAGTGCAACAGGTAGCAGTCATATATATGGTGTTGCTTGTTTTTATTTCTTCCAGGATTCCAAGTGATGAGTGTCAGAAAGCACAAGTTCTAGTCTGAAGTATAGCCACTTTAATCAACAATAAAGCACCTTACCTTTTTTCCAATAAACTAATTACAACTACTACTTATTGAACCCAACATTCAGTTGATTCAGTGTTGGCATCAATTCTGGAGTCCCCCCAGCTTTCTTCAACTTGGAAGGATAGGCAAAGTATATACAAGCATGGTGCAGTCCACAACTGTCAAAAAAAAAAAGGAAGAAAGAAATTGAACCAAAACAATTGTCAAAAATAGCTAAACAAACTGAGCAATCACCATGGGAGAATTTACCAAATCCCCTGTATATTTTACAACGGATTGTGTCTGTTTCCGGCCTGTAATGTACTAGCACAGTAGCATGTCTGGGATTCAGGGTTCTAATAATCAGACAGTTCCTCGTTGCGGCAGGTGAAGCACGTGATATTTCACATATTCCCAACGAAAGCAGAGAAGAAATAGTGGACTGGGGACATAGATACAGGATGCGAGTAAATAAACCTATCTTGCCTTTTGATCTAGGGGATGAATCTTGCATTGTGCAAGGTGATTGGCCTACGTGTGGGGTTGGTCAAATCATGTTATATATAGAGCAGCATAGATATATATTGTCAAATGTTACTTAACACTCACTGTTCTTCTGATAAGGAACACGTAGGAATAAAGAAAGGAGGCAGCCCATAATAGTAGAATCTGCTTCTAGAAGTTAGCTAGCTAGCTAGCCTGCATATGCATGCATGCATTCGTGACCAGAAATTAAACATATGTCTTGTGTTTTGAGTTTTGACTAACCTCTGGGAGTCTGGGTTTTGCTTGCGCAGGACAAGGTTGAGATCACCGGTGGTTCGAAGCATTTCATGGCCTTTGGAGGTGGCCTCCGTTTCTGTGTTGGAACTGATCTCAGCAAGGTGTTGATTGCAACTTTCATACACCACCTGGTGACAAAATACAGGTACATGCAGCTGATCATCACTTGTCACACATGTACATGTAGTTCTCTTCCTGAACATGGCATGCATATGAGAATATCTATGTTCTAACATATGCATATATCTTGTCATTCCAGATGGAAGACAGTAAAAGGAGGTAACATAGTCCGTACCCCCGGCCTCAGCTTCCCAGATGGATTCCATGTTCAGTTCTTCCCTAAGAACTGACATGGAAGATCTCTCCGTCTCCTTCCCTAAAAATATAGCGTGTTTGCAGTTGCAGCTAAGTAAAGAAGAAATAATCAATGTAGAAATGGCATATGCTTAATTAGGTGATGAAGTCAGTTGGAAACTAGCTTGAGGTCGTTTTTTCAGATAATGGATAAAAATCTTGCCTATATATCCATTAGCTGATTTGCATTCACAACCAACCAGTTACAGGAATTCCTAGATTCCAAGCCTCAACATTGAGGAGTATAAAAAACAAGGAAGAAAACTAGTAAGCTAAGAAAGAAAGCTAGAAGACTAAGCTTCACTCAAGCTTGAGGTCGTTTTAGGGCACCTCCATAATATTGGACTAGTAATTTAGATGTATTTGCACCTGTAGCTAAATTGTACTTGAAGGCATTGTGAGCTTGTTGTCTGTTTGATTGTTTCCATGAGTGGTTAGTCGTCTATTGTACCCACATGTTGTGTCTACATGCATATAATGGATTATGAATGTATTAGAGCTTGCGGTTGAATATATACTATGGCTCTGTTCGTTATGGGGAGATAGGGGAGATTGATTCTCGTTTTCCGCGTGCACGTTTTTCAAACTACTAAACGGTGTGTTTTTTGTAAAAAAATTCTATAGGAAAGTTGCTTTAAAAAATCATATTAATCCATTTCTGAAATTTGAAATAGTTAATACTCAATTAATCATGAGCTAATGGCTCACCTCGTTTTGCGTATCTCCTCAATCCCCTTCTCCTCAAACACACCCTATGTCATTTTGGATTGATGCAATCACTACTACGGAACAAGTCATCTGTGATGGGTTGTAACCCTCATCTCTGAACAGGTGACCGGTCAATGATGAGTGGTCACTAATGACCATGTGCTAATATGATATAGTCATTCTCTCCACAAGCACCAATTCACATAATCTATGACTTCATGCAGTTGGACATCTAGTTATGTTCCTTTTACCATTGTTGGATCTAGGAATATAACCTGGGCTCTTGTCTTGTGTGCCTATTTCCAACACCACCTAAAAGGACAAAAAAAATTGTTTAAGAGGACGAAATTTATATGCAGATTGGAAATTGGAGGATTTAGTGGTTAGGGCAAAAGGAAACTCACCTGCACGGCTGCACGCGCTCGCTGCTCCTCGTCGAGACGCCGGCGGTCGTCATGTGTGAGCCTGCAGCCGCGTCGTCTCCTATTCTATAGGGGAGATGGAAGGCAAAGAGCCAAGCTGCAACCTGCAAAGCAATGGTCGCTAGTTTTGTTGGGCTGCACGATATGCCCCCGGCTGCGGATGTCTGGGCTGAGCAACAGAACAAATTCGGATGGAATAAGTTAACCATAGGTCTCTTAACTTAACAGCGAGATTTTTTAAGGTCCATAAAACCAAAACTGCTCAAACCGTTCCCAGGTCTTTTATTCCAATTTTAATAACATAGCATCATAGTCAGTAAAAAAATAAAAAATAAATATGTGAAACCCACCTATAAGCGAGAAAAAAATGTAGTAGGGTCACAATCCTAGTCAGCGGGACGCGGGGGGCGGGGGCCGGGTGGCGCAGCGGGCGAGCGGCGGCAGCAGGCGGCGTGGACGCCGGTGAGGAGGAGGGGGGCGGCGAGCCACGCCCAGAGCGAGCCGACGGCCGCCGCCGCCGCCGGCGGGAGCCCCTCCGCTCCAAATGCCCCTGTATCTCTCTGTTCGTCGCGGAACTTTGCCGTCCTGATCTCTCCCTTGGGGGAAACATCTCGTTGCAGATCTCCTACGCCGCCGCGGGCTGCTCCTCCAGGCTATTCTCCACGGCGCTTAACTACGTACGTGAGGCGCCCCTTCCCTCGGATCCACCCCTACCCTCTTCCCTGATCTGTCTGTTTTGTCTGAGGATGATAGTGAGTTGGATTTGTGGGTTTGCTTGCTGTGCAGCACCTCGATTCGCCGGAAAACAACTCCGACATGCCGTGGGAGTCCAAGGAGGCCAACATGAAGAAGGTGCTATTTGCCTCGTTCATTCGTTTCTCTCAGTCTGTTGGAGGGAGTTTCTAGGAGGATTGGGAGTTTAAAGGATGAGGCTATTAACTGTTTTGTTTGATTGGGGGACATGGGAATTTTGGTGTGATGGGGATGGAGAATTGAGGAATGAACTCCCTCATTTTCAATACCTGAGTAGGGGCAGGTAATTGGGAGGGAATTCCTCCTTTACTTCGCCTAAACAAATCTCAGCCATCCGTTTTTATTAATGATCTAATCTCCAACTAAACTCCCTATCAATTTCCACCACCTCTACGAAACAAGAGACTGGGATGAAAAATCAAATTCCCATCTTAATCTCTCCATCAATTCCCTCGTGTAAACTCCTAATCCCCTTCCCTCAGGTTGCCAAACAAGCCGTCTGTGATTTATGTATAGGACTGGAACAATCGCTGGTCTCTGCCGGCCGCGCGCTCGCTCGCCGCCGCCGCCACCCCACTCCACTCCGCTGGTCCTCGCGCGCTTGCCCGCCTGCTCCGGCCACTCGTCGCCGCCCACTGCTGCTCCCCTGTCGCAAAGAGAAAAACGAAAAAGGGAGAGAGGAAAGAAATGAGAAGATACGGCCTGTTTGGTTGGAGAGAGTTTTTATGAGGGATTGGGAGTTCGGAGGGATGAGGCTATTAACTGTTTTGTTTGATTGGGAGACATGATAATTTTGGTGGGATGGGGATGGGGAATTGAGGAATGAACTCTCTCCTTTTTAATACCTGGGTAGGGGGTGGGAATTGGGAGGGAATTCCTCCTTTACTTGGCCTAAACAAATCTCAGCCATCCGTTTTCATTAATAACCTAATCTCCAATTAAACTCCCTATCAATTTCCACCACCTCTACCAAACAAGAGACTGGGATAAAAAATCAAATTCTCATCTTAATCTCACCATTAATTCCCTCGTGTAAACTCCCAATCCCCTTCTCTCATGTTACCAAACAAGCCGTAGAAGAAGAAAGAGAAAAAAGAAGAGACATGGGTCTCACATTTTTTCTCATTCTCACTTACATGTGGGCCCAATAACTTTTTTATTTTTTATTTTATTGACTAGGATGTTACGTTAGTAAAACCAGGAAAAAAAACTGTTATGGGACCTCCATTGAACGGTTTAAGTGAGTTTAGGGTAGATATTTCTGTTTCGTGGTTAAGGGACCTTCGGTGAACTTATTCCAATACGGATCGGAATCGGATTTATCCAGAGCAGCCCAGCTTGGCAAGCCCGACCCATCTGAAAGCCTGAAAGGAAACATGCCAACAGGGAGTAATAAGCTGTCAGCTCCTTTTCTGCATCTTCCCACTCAAACAGTGGAAAACAGAAAATAGCCAGTCAACCAAACAGTTGTCTTGACTGAAAACATCAACCAAACAGTATTTTTGACTGAACACACACCAATTAATCATGTGTGCGTTTCAGGTTCAGTCCACTGGTCTGCCAAATTACAACAGAGCTTAAAAACGTTTTAGACCGTCTCCAACAACGCGACGCATACTCATTTATCCGTCGTGCACACTGATTTTGGGTAAAAAAAACAGCCTCCAACGGGAGAGGCAAATACGATACGTATATTGGGTAGCGGCCAAAGCGCTAGGCAAATATCCGTTTCCTCTCTCTACCGACGCAAAACACTGGAACGGAGCTCGCGCAGTCGCGCGGTGGGCCAGGGTGAGGCGGAGCTGGTGCGGCGAGGCGGAGCTCCCGCGGCGGGGCGGGAGCGCCGTCGGGGCGCGGTCGGAGCGCGCCGTCGGGGAGCACCGTCGGGGAGCGTCGTCGGAGCGCGCCGTCGGGGAGGAGGCGTAGTGGGCCCGTAGTGGCGTCAGGGCGGAGTGCGGCCGGCGGGGCGAGTCCGCGGTGGAGCGCGGTCGTCGCAGTTCCCGCTGCTCCGTTCCGAGCATCGCCGCCACGAGGATGAACTGTGCCGCGAGCCGCCGGCGGGTGTGCTCCGCCTGCCACCGCCGCTCCGCCCCGACCACAGCCGTCGCAAGGAGTCGTGCCGCGAGCCGCCAGCGGGCGCACTCCGCCCCGAGCAACGCCGTCGCGAGGACGGGCCGCGCCATAAGCCGCCGGCGGGAGCGTTCCGCCTGGCCATCGCCGCTCCGCCCCTGTGAGGATGAACGGCGCGCATCGCCGCTGCGAGGACGACCTGGAGCCGATGGCCGCCGGAGGGAGGAGGGAGGAGAGACGAGGGCTGGGACCCGCCTGCTCCGCTGATGCCGCTGCCACGACGGGAGGACGAGGTGAAGATAGAAAAAGATTGGGAGCACTGGGTTTGCTGTTGGAGAAGGGAATTTTTGAGTGTCCGACCTTTTTACTGTGCATCACCCAATCCATGATATGAGTATCTAGAATGGGTCTCCGCTGTTGGAGACGGTCTTAGGTCCCAAGTCCCAACCGTCGGTCTCTGGAGCTGACAAAGATACATTCCAACTGTATGAGAGTACGTAGGCCGTGTTTAGTTTTAAAATATTTCTTTAAACTTTTAACTTTTTCATCATATCAAAACTTTTCTACACACATAAACTTTCAACTTTTCCGTCACATTGTTTTAATTTTAATCAAAATTTCAATTTTGGTTTGATCTAAACACAGCTGTAGATATCAACACTCCACACTACAGTTCTAAAAAGAAAAAAAAACACTCCACACTAAAGCCATTCATGCTGTGAGCTAGCCTACGACAACATTATTCTTTCTTCCTTCCGAGCATTTTCACGGGCGCTTCGTTTCGCTTCACTGGGACTTCCAAACAATGTCGGCATTAGCAGACGTCGTATTCTGAATTCCTGATATTCTCGCGTAGCAAAAACGGTGCAATAAATACGAAGAACAGCAGCCCGGCCTCTGCAAAAGTGACGCGAGGAATTAAAAAGCCTATATATATATATATATATATATATATATATATATATATATATATATATATATATATATATATATATATATTCACGTCATTATCCATGTGTGTCTGAGGATGGATTCTAATCTCTCGGATGGACATCCACCCGTTTCTTGCATGCCACCTAAATGATTATGAAAAAATCCAAAAAAAAATTCACAAGATAGGTTAATATGTAATATATCACTTAACAAACATGCAAGTTAAAATTCGACTTCTACAAGTTGTAACAAAAATAACAAATCAAACTCTAACCGGTATACGTATATTCACACTTAAATTTGTTATTTTTGTTACAACTTGTAAAAGTCGAATTTAAACTTGCATGTTTGTGAAGTGATATATTGCATATTAACCTATTATGTCAATTTTTTTGAAAATTTTTCATAACCATTTAAATGACATGCAAGAAACGGGTGAACGTCCACCCGAGAGTTTAAAACAGTTTCCCATGTGTGCCCCCTTACTCACTACTCAAGTAGGATCTGAGCGTTCCCTTTCCGTTGATTCACCGAGTTCGGCCATGGTTTGGAAGATTGCTACTGGTCCATGTCAAAACCCATACCAGATCAAAACATGCGTCCCTTTCGTCTTTGAGCGTGTTTTTCTTTCTCGCCATTAGACTTGGTTGGAGAGGCTATACCTGTACACATTGATTGATGGTGAAATGTGTCACTTGCTTTCCAGGTATAAATAATCAGCAATCTGGTTTATTTAAACAAATTCCAAATTCCAATCAACTGGAGTAGTCTATCTAGGATCGTGACAGGTCAGGTTCAGAAATTTTATGTGTATAGTAATATTTTTCCCATGGAGCTATTTGTTTAGGCTTGTATATCCACTGGATTCAGGTCTCAGATTTAGGGCCACTAGTAATAAATCCATATATCGCACGTGATATTATTATTAGTATTTTACTCCCTTCAAAACAGAATATAAGCATTTTTATAATTAGACACAGTTAAAGTAAATTTAATAGTATAGCCAACCAATGTTGTCAGGATCGGGATCGGGATACTACATAGTATCGTTTTGCTCAAAGTAATATCGTATCGTAGGATCGTATCGTAGTATCGGGATACTATGAGATTTTCTTTTTAATAAATTAATTAATATTTATATTAATTATATATAGCCATTCTATATAAAAAATGTAGTAATGATATATATCATGCAAATAGAGATATTTATCAAGAGAAACCACGTTGGTTTTGATATATTTAACCGATTTTTCATATAAATTTGAGCATATTTAGTTACATTATTTTCAAACCATGTTATTTTAAATAATATTTTGTAGTATCGTAGGGATCGTAGAATCGGGATACCAGATAAGATTTCGTAGGATCGTATAGTAATGAATAGTAGGATCGAGATACTATGAAAATTAGGATACTAGGTGGGATCGGTATCGTTTTGGCTTGGTAGGATCGTAGTATCGTAAGATACTAGGATACGAATCGGGATACTGACAACCTTGTAGCCAACTACTAGCCACTACTAGAAAAAGCATTTTTCCCAACGTAGGGGTCTTTTTTTCTCAGGCGGACATGAGCCTAGGAGTCGAATGACCGCCTACAAAAATATAAATCGAGGTGAAGTTCGCTGTCCGCCTGCGAAAATCAGGTGGACTACTTAAGCGGCGCCTGTGAAAATCATTTTCGCAGGCGGACCACCTAAGCCGCGCCGCGCACCTTATGTGGTCCGCCTGCAAAAATCGTATCTACCTAAAAAAAACTTCAAACCTTATCTAGTACTCCAACCCGTCCCTACCACTCATTTCTATCTTCTCAACTCTCTCTCTCTCTCTCCCTCCACCACCAGCTTCTCAGCTCCCCCATCCCCTCCCCTCCCCTCCCTCCCTCCCTCCACCGGCGGTGGATCGTGCGGCAGCGGCAGCAGCGGCGCGCGCGGACACGACGGCGGCTCCCCGGCCTCCCCTCCCAGATCTGGCCAGAGGGAGGCCGGGGGAGGGCGGCGGCGACGTGGTTCCCCGGCCTCCCCTCCCAGATCCGGATGGAGGGAGGCCGGGGGAGGGCGGCGGCGGCGCGCGTGGACGCGGTGGCGGCGGCGGCGCACGAACGCGGCGGCGACCCGGTGCGACAACAGCGGCTCCTCGGCCTCCCCTCCCAGATCCGGCCGGAGAGAGGCCGGGGGAAGGCAGCGGCGGCGCGCGCGGACACGGTGGCGGCGGCGGCGCGCGTACGCGGCGGCGGCGGCTCCCCCGGCCTCCCCTCCCAGATCCGGCCGGAGGGAGGCCGGGGGAGGGCTGCGGCGGTGGCTCCCGGTGCTGCGGCGGCGGTGGCGGCGAGGCAATTTTTTTTTGTTTTTTATTGGATTTTCGC